TTATTTAGCTAGTGCTGGCCCCTTCTTTTTTGATGTCTGTAACATATGACAGGATTCTGAAACTGCCCCTGTGGTTGCTGTGTGCTAATGACAGTGGCATGCCCAGGAAATCCGAATGGGGGGGGGGTCGCCATATGAAACACTGATTACCTACCCTAAATGGGGTAGGGGGGTTTAACTTATGAAAAACCTGATAACCCACCCATATTTGTGTCCAAGAAAAATTTTTTTGAGAATCGAACCTTTAAAATTGATCCCAAGGGGGGTTATGACCCCCAAAACCCCCCCCTTGGGCATGCCACTGGCTAATGACACAGGCATCATTCTTTCTTATCACTGTTTGATGATACAGTAGAAGTACCTGGGTTGTTTCTCCAATGATGGGAATGACAATTAGGGCTTGGGTGCCCTTGCCTGCTAGTAGGTTTAAACATGGATTAGTCTTCTTTCCAGTTCCACCATCAAGGGTCAGTGAATCCATGCTGTTCCTCTAAAATCATGCTGGGTCTTTGGATTTGTAGGCTTGCCATGTCTTCTGGATGCCAAGGTCCTGAATTCTGCTCCAGGCCATCCATTCTTCACCAGACTGGGATTTCCAAATATGGGCACCATATCCATCCCCAACACTAATGGATATACCTGCTCATCCATCCTATCCACCCCCTTTTTTGTTGACAAATTCATGCCTTTTGCTGTATTTATTAGTGGTCAGCTATGTTAATTTAGGCACTTACTCTTATACTTTAATAGGCCTTGTTTCCTAGTGGTGCTTTTCTGTTAATACTTGTTATGGCGAGACCAATGCATTGGTAACCACCGCAACGGGCTTCTAGAATGGTATCATCATCTGCACCATCTGTTAGTGGCAGGTTTTCAGACCGTTGTGGCACTTGTCTACCACATAAAAAAAGAGAGGAACATGTGCAAGTGTGAGTATGGCATAGAACCTGACTCACTTATTTCCTTATGATGAAAATGCTCTGTGCTTTTTTCTCAACAAAAAAAGACCAGGTGTATGGAGAGGTGATGACACTGTGAGATCATGACTAGCCATTTTTACTCCCCAAATACTGACCCTTTCTTGGAGTCAACACCCATGAACCAGCTGTATCTGTTATAAGAGTCCAAAACCAAAATAGAACTTGATATCTCAAAAGTTCAAACACCTCTGATTGAATAAGTTTCTTAGTTTGGTATCAGTAATGATGTGGTAAGATAATGTTTTCAGTGCAAAGTGTTCCAAGGTTCTTGATGTGCATATTGAGCATAATATATTTCAGCACAGTACTTCATGCCCAAAAAACTAGATGCCTGGATTTTAAGTAGTTGTTGCCTTACTCATACATTAGTGTACAGTTATTCATCAATACCTAATTTTATTTTTATTTTTTTCAAGTTTTTTCAAAAGGTATTGGCCTACCTGTGTGCTGAGGGCAGTAAATTCAGGACATTGGTTAGTTTAAAATATATATTTCTGCAATTTTTTTTAAATCAGTGCCATTTTGTTCCATCCTGTTCTTACTTCTCAACTTCTGAACTGTTCTGTTGGATTCAGAAAAGTGAAATTTTTTTCAGTTTAAGAAATGGAGTGATGATGACATGGATAATTAGATATTTAATTTTTAGAATGGAATGGAAATTTCTTATGTTGATGAATGACAAGCTTGCATTTCCATTAAATTTTTTTGGTGTCCTTTGTTTTTCTCAGTCTTCCTTGTTAGAATGGAAAATACTAGTGCTTTTCCATTTGCTTGTATTTTTTCCCTTTTATTTATTGTTTGAAGCCATTTTTCAAGCTGTATTTCATTGCTCAGACAGGTGTAGTGCTTTGCTGACCACTTTCCAGTAGGCCTAGTCCTATAGATGCTGTGCCTGTGCCAATGACTTTATTGGTGCCCATCACCCAAAGTTTAACACGTTGCTGTTCTCACCATTTGGTGTGTTTGGCATGGCAAACCTCCACTGCTGAGCTTGGCCAAGAGAGGTTGACTGGACATTGAAATTCTCAGCAGTCAGTGTGTTAATGTAGTTCTTAGCACTGGATAAATGAGACTTCCAAAACACAGATGCTAGCTAGGGGAGTCCTTTGGCATCTCATCTGTTGAAATTTGTTCATTTTGCTTGATTGCTCTGTACATTCATACACCAGAAAAGATCCCCTTCATACACTTTTGAAGTACTGCATGATTATCCAAGAAACCCAGGGAACTCAAAAGACCTCTGAAATGAAGATTGTTTCAATTTCTTCTTTCATGTGTAGTAAGTTACAGAGGCAGGGGTCATTCAGAATTATGATGTTAGGCTTTATCATGTCTCATGATAAACAAACTGTTGATGATGTTGTTTGTAGACCTAGACGTCAATCACCTTTTTTGGGATTCTACCAATTCCTACCCTTAGCTACCCTTACCTTGTAATGTTTGCCTGGTACCTCCCAATTATATTTGGGGTTCAGTTTCATTTGTCAACTTGTCTCATTTTAGTTGTACTGCTGTGTTACAGGTACTACATAGGTGTTGAGGAAAGGAAGTAGTGCTTGTAAGACAAAATGGATAGATTGCTTCGTCTTGGTGGAGGTGTCCCTGGTTTGGGCCAGGGTCCACCAACTGGTGATGCCCCGATAGTGGACACTGCTGAGCAGGTGTACATTTCATCCCTTGCCCTGCTGAAAATGCTGAAGCATGGTCGTGCTGGAGTTCCCATGGAAGTTATGGGCTTGATGTTAGGAGAATTTGTGGATGACTATACAGTCAGAGTGATTGATGTTTTTGCTATGCCCCAGTCTGGAACGGGTGTCAGCGTTGAAGCTGTCGACCCGGTTTTTCAGGCCAAAATGTTGGACATGCTTAAGCAAACTGGCCGACCCGAAATGGTGGTTGGCTGGTATCACTCGCATCCGGGTTTTGGATGCTGGTTGTCAGGGGTAGATATCAACACCCAGCAGAGTTTTGAGGCACTGTCCGAACGTGCAGTTGCTGTGGTTGTCGACCCCATCCAGAGCGTCAAGGGAAAAGTGGTCATTGATGCATTCCGCCTCATCAATCCCAACATGATGGTTCTTGGTCAAGAACCTAGGCAAACAACATCCAATCTGGGTCATCTGCAGAAGCCGTCCATCCAGGCCCTGATTCATGGTCTGAACAGGCATTACTACTCAATGAGCATCAATTATCGTAAGAATGAGCTGGAGCAGAAGATGCTGCTGAACTTGCACAAGAAATCATGGATGGATGGACTCACACTTCAGGACTACAATGAGCACTGCAAGCTGAATGAGACAACTGTCACCCACATGCTGGAACTAGCCAAGAACTACAACAAGGCATTGGAGGAAGAGGAGAAGATGACTCCTGAGCAACTTGCCATCAAGAATGTTGGTAAACAAGATCCAAAGAGGCATCTGGAGGAACAGGTTGATGGCCTGATGACATCTAACATTGTCCAATGTCTCAATGCAATGATCAATACTGTTGTCTTCAAAGAGGATGCTTACTTGGAAAAGGTATCAGCTTAAAAAACATTGCTTTGGTCATCATTGGCATGAAACATGTGTCTGTGTGACACCACCTGCTTTATCAATAAAATGACTGGTAACTGTCATGGTATGAGTTCTGGTATTCCAATCATATTCAGATATTTGATTTCAGCATCAGAACTGCAAGATTAAAAAAATAACACTTGAAGAGTGATGGGAGTGTGCTTGACTGTCACACTCTGAGCCTCATGCAGCTCTGAGCCTCATCCAAGTCTCAATCAGTGATATATTTTTTCTGATGCTTGCTGTAATCAAGGTGTTTCTGTTTCATTGCTTCATCTTCTTAGGCCAAGGTGTAGAATGAGGTGAATCTAGCTTGAACTCTTGATTGAGAGAATAAATGGATAGGAATGTGAATCCACAACATTTTATTTGACCAATCAGCTTTGAGTATTGATTTTTTTTAAATGTTGCATTATCTATAAATCAATGGAGAATAAAATGAGAATCCTCTACCGAATTATTTTCTCTTCTTTCTAGACGACATAGCTAAGGTTACAACCTGTTAAGAAAGTCCTCCAGAGCATGTTTTTTTTGTAACAGGTGCAAGATGGCAGATTAATTTTATGATTTCATTCTGTTTCAGTATGAAACGTGGGTAATTGAGCCTGCAGTTGGGCGACCTTATTTGATTGGTGAGCTGTGCAGTCATCAGCAGCCATGGAGCCCCTGGTTAAGCAGCTCATCCTCATTTTGGTCCTGTTCTTGTTCCTCATGGTATGTGGACTCTTGCCAGTTCTGGTTTTCCGGCACAGGAGAGTCCCACACGAACCCACTTCCAAGTGGTCTGGGCGTATTCATTCATGGATCAGCTGCTTTGCTGGGGGAGTCTTCATTGGCATGTGCTTTGTTGGCCTCCTCCCAATGGCCGTTGAACAATTTCATCAAGTTTCCTCCAAGTTTGGTTGGACAATCCACTTCCCATTTGCAGAACTTGTCATGGTTGTGGGATTTTTTTCAATTATGATTTTGGAGGAAATCATGCATTATTTCTTTCATGACCGTTCACATGGAACAGACAGTCCAAAGTCAGAAGTGGCAGAACAAGAGATAGAAGAAGACGAACACACTGAGATGCAACAGCTCATTCCTGAGGAAGAGGTGTTGACCAGTCATTCAAACCAGAACGACAAAGACCATGAAAAGCAAACCCAGAGTCTGGGAAGAACCACTACTTCAAATCATGAGAAGGCTGTTCCAGCCCCATCCTCATTCAATGCCCCCATCCGTGGTCACAACCATGAGAAGGACATGCTTTCGGCTGCAAAAGAAACAGGACTTAAACTGGCATTGCTCATGTTTGCCATTAACCTTCACTCATTCTTTGAAGGGATTGCATTGGGGCTGCAGAAAGATGCTGCCAAGATGGTGAGTCTGTTCATTGCAATTTTGATCCATGAATCAGTTGTGGCCTTTGCAATTGGGGCCACGATGAGCCAAAGTCGCTTCACCATCCGACGTGCAGCCAAATACCTCTTCCTCTTCTGTGTGTCCATCCCGATTGGAATTGGAACAGGCGTTCTGATTGTCCAATTTGGACAGGGCAAAGGAGGTGACCTTGCTTCAGCCATCTTGCAGGCGATTGCCACTGGGATTTTCTTGTATGTGACATTTATGCAAGTGATTCCTGAAGAAATGCGCCGTGTTGGCTCTAAATTTGGAAAAATAATCTTCATGTTTCTTGGGTTCATTCTCATGTGCTTCATCACATATATCATGGAAGAATCTCTCTAGTCCTGTCTTCAAGTCACGAGGACAAACAATCCCCACAACTTTCTGCACTTCCATACAAAACTGTGTGATATATATATATATTATATATAGGTATACATTGTATAGGATTGCCAGTCGATCAACTTTTCATGAAACCTTAAACTGTGATCAATTTCACACTAACACTAACCCCGGTCTTTCATGATGTCTCATTCCAGAAATGCATTTGTACTATTTCTTTCTTTTCACATGGTTCTATGGATCCTGAACAAGTCTTACAATTGGTTGCGAAATGTTTTTGCCATTCACCTGGCATGAATTTTGCAAATGTAATTTGAGAGATCTTTCCTAGTGCATTTGTTATGTTATGTTTACCTGAGCTTATTCATGTTGGGTAAGGTTCCCATCCTTCTGGGAAAGTTAAAACTGACAGGTTGTGTGTTGGTTGTCGCATAGCTGTGCGAAGTGCATCCATGCATGTCACAGCATAGTGAATATGAATGCCAAATCATTATTTTGTTGGAGGTCTAATAGTCTTCCTCCTTATGTGTTTATTCTGTGGAAGTGGGAGTTGGTGAGTTCATGGTTTTCCTTATATTTAATTCCAATTGAGAACAAAATATTTTATTTAACAAATTTTGACATATCAATGTGTTCCTCCTTTGGGAGAACGCTCTTGCATTATTTTCCTATGAGCTTCTGTATTCCTGCACTGAGCCTATTTGTTGGCTTGTGTTTTACCAACTGAAAACAAACCACTGCAGCCTCAGTTATTTTTGTGAAGAAAAGAAATGAATATAAACATACTGAAAACTGCATCAGTCTAACAAATTTGAAGATGAGAACCATTCACTCTTTATCTGGTGAACATTCCTGCCATGATAATGACCGAGATAATGCACGACTGTGTTTCCTAATCCTGGAGCAGGTAGCAATTTTATTGTGAAACTTGTATTGCTCTCCCTTTATGGTCAATTGCGCCACTGATATTTGTCAGATTTCGCCGAAGAAGCATGAGACTCCTTATTTGGAAAAATGCAACTGATGCATTTGTTGAGGTAGTAATTCAAGTTACCATTCATAGAAAATAACTCAAATTTCACTACAAAACTCTGCTAATTCTTAGACCACACAACAGGGCACTGTTGCAGTTAGCATGGCTAGTATTTTTGCAATAACTTCGGAAGCAGTGCGTCTCTTTTGTTTTTCGGTTCGTAAAAGATGCCAAAGGAGTGCAGGAATGCAGCCGGACAAATTCTTCTCGATTGTGAATGGAGCAGGGTAGATGCACCAGTTTGTGGACAATATGATCACTTTTAAAATTACCACTGTCATTTTAAAAGTCTTATTCCAGAAATTATATCAGAATTAGTCTCATCGAGCAGCCAAGGATCCACATTTTTGGCATTGGTGTTTAGATGCCAGAAAACTCAATGTTGTCCTCAAAGTAATTCCCATCTATAAACTGATGCGTCTACCCAATATGGAAAATTCTGAGGCTTTCTCAATTACCCATCATTTACCAAATTTGGGGGATAATCTTGGGGTCCCTTTCGAAATACCAAAGCGGTCATGTGCTGTTATGTTTTTCTGATCTCATCGGAGTCTCATCACCAATTGAAAGTGTTTCCTCGTTCACATTATGGAATGAAGCTTGTTATTTACCCTTCCCTTCGTTTTTTTCTTTCTGAGTCTCACTGAATTTTTTTTTTAAACCAGATTCGTCGATCCCTTCCTCCCCTTTCGCCTCTTCGTCATTAGCAGATGCTCGAGGCACGAGCTAATTGCAGTCGCTCAGTCATGACGTCATTTCATATGTGAATGGTCTCCACTTTTCTTAATATAAAGTTCAATATTAAAAACCACGAAGACTTTCTTTTCACAACCACGTGGAAATGAAAGGAAAAACAGTCACCTTCCAATTAAAGGGAAGAGCAAATAAAAAACGACGTTTTTCGCGTCCGCCGGGAGATGGCAACACTGCATGTCCTACTGCGTTTCTCTCCTTCAAATCTCGTTATCCAAGTAATGGATCTCTCGAGATCTCTCAACCTTGAAGGTTCTTTTCCACTCGGAACCGGCTCGATAACATATATAATTCTTCTCTGGCATAATCGCAAAAAATCCCCGATGACGTCACGAATCTCATCCCCGATCACGGTCCGGGTTGAGACAGCTAAATTTGCTCCCTTTTTTTTTTTTTTCTTCCTGAAGCTATTCGTGGAAGGGGCAGGGACTGGATTTTCACCGTTCCGCGCATGCCCCACCGACAAGAAATAATGTCATTTCTCAGCGCCCGTCGCGTATGGAATTCATTTACCGGCTGCCAGCTGGAGCCATTAAGTCGACCGCTTAACATTTCTCTTTCCTCGTCTTCATCTCAGTTGGTCGAAGGCCGCAGGAGTTTCTTGATTTTTCTTTCTTCAGGGTGGATCAATCCGGGTCCCGGAGCTTCACAGCGCGGCGATAAATGTTTGTCAACAAAGAAGTTTCACAGAGGAAGAGGAAGTCATGCACCATTTTGCGAATTACATGAAAAAAAAAGTGTTTACGCCGACGCCCAATGGATTAAAGAAAAATTATTCACTGGGAATTTAAATAGAAAGAATGAGAACCCTGCCCTAGTAAATGAAAGAAAGAGAAAGAACCGATTATCTTGATTGTGCTCTAGAGGATCTGTCGTTCTTGTTCTGACTTTCCCGAGTGTGTCCCTTTCGTTTTCGCATTTGGAGAATCGGTGCAAAGTCTCGTTCTTGTCTCCCCCCGCCGAGATGCGCCGTCGACGACAGCCGTGGCACGAACCTCGTTACGCAATCACATCCGTGGAGAGACTCGCAATGCAATTCATGGAACCATTATCGGCATGATGCGATTAGCGACCGGATCTGCAGGGACGATGCGGTCCTGCGGTCCCTTCCCGCGGTCCCGTCCCGCGGTGCCCGTGACGTCACAACAGGGGGACTCCTGTTTCGGAATCAAAATGGCGTCCAAGGCGAGTGTCGCGGATGCCCCCGTGGGCCAGTCATGGTCCATGTGGTCCAAATATCTCAATTCCAAAAGTTTCTCTTCCAGTTCCCCCTCTGGAGGAGGAGCACTCAAATCTTGGCTTCATAGCGATTCCATGAAGCTCAAGAAAGAAGGTGAGACAAAGCCGAGAACTGCTTCGAAACCTTGAATTTTGACCTGTACCAACTACTCATGTTTCCTTAATTACTCGGTTTTCGCCTGGCTAATATGAAACCAAACGCATTGCAGACCTATCTCTCAAATTTTTAAGCCCTTGAGCTCCGTCTTGGGCGTTATGTTAGGGCTAAGTTTAGAGATCTACAAAGTTTCAAGGTTAGGCCAGACATGAGAGTCACGTTACTGACGTAGATTAGGCGCAAAAGATTGTCGTAGGCCTACGCCTAAGTCATATCTTCAGTAGGTCTGTCTGGTTTGTGGGGGCATTTATTATTTCTTCAAACCGTGCAGAGGCTTGGCATTCCTTGAAGGTGGTGGCTACTTTACATGGACCTGTATATTCCCATCCTTGTGTACTATTTATTTGTAATTTGTGTCTTGGGCCACCCCATGGTAGTGTAACACTCTTTTTTATATTAGGCAAAGCCTTTGAAACTCCTACACCTGCATTCTCTCGAGAAGCCTACCAGGCTTAACTGCCTCCCTACCATTTTTGCATCCTTATCACCTATCTCTTTAACTTCTCCATCTTTATTCCACCATCCACGTTTTACCATGAGGTCATCTCAACCTCAACATCTGACTTATGAAAAAAAGAAGAGGAAGAGCAGGGGAGGAAGCCCATTGGGTGACAATTGGCATCAAAACCCAAGGTGTAATCCATTCAGGCACCAACTCTCACATTAGAAAACTGGTAGATATAGAAGTAGGTGGGGATATATAAGAAGACCCTTCTTATTCCAAGGTGCATGTGCCATAGACAAACTGGTTCATGTGAATATCCCTATAAAGATTTTAGCATATTTGCACACCCACTGCCCTCCTTGAACCACATCAAAAGGAAAGTTTTATTCTTTGGGGCTGGCTATACAGAGTAGGATCAGGCAATGATAGACTGTATGTTAGGCTTATAAGGTCAGTCTTTGGCAGTAGACCTAACAAGGCCTTGGGTGTGCTGTCAAACATTATGGACAGCCTTTACCAGAATCAAATTGACAGTCATTATTGTAGAGAAGACATTCATGTTAGCACCATGACATTAGCTGATGATAGACCACATTCTAAGAAACTTTGCCTCAAACTCAGTTTACAGCTGTGGTTGATACCCTAGTTTGGTCTGAATTTTAATGCAGTATCCTTTTCCTGATAGATATGGGGCTCTTCGGATTCTGTCCACTCAGGGATGAGTTCACGCTTGCGATTTGCAATATCTGCCATGTTGCTGTCAAGCCACAGGCATTCAAGACTCATATGGGTGAGTTCATAGCCATACTACTTGAATGCATTGGTATACCTATTGGCTGACACTTTGAGATTTTTATTTTAATAAATGATACTCATTTTGACCTCAGATAAGAAGCACAAAACCAGGGGTGATGGGAATGCAATACCAGAGCTTGACAAGAGCATCACTCTCCAAGGCACCTCAAAGGAAACATCAGGGCTTCGTTCCAAGAAGACAAAACGATCAAAGGCAACCAAGGCTGATAATACCATCCCTGTGATAAGCATTCCAGAAATCCCTGTTCCTCGGGCTCGTGTATTGACGGAGAGCAAGGCTACCCTCCCGTCGCCGCAGAAACCCCCTCCTATACCCGAGGATGAGTTAGAAAACGTGGCCAAGTGTGCAAGTGAAGAAGAGGCTTTCAGCGATGGGAAACCTCTGGCCAAGCGGCTGAAATTGGCCCCTGTGGACAGTAGGCTTCGGAATGGAGCTTGTGATCCTGTGATAGTGCCTTTGAGTCGTCAAGATACACTCCCCATGAATGAGGCGCCTTCCCAAGGGAGCTCCACAGTCCCATCATCCAGTGATAGCAGTGCCAGTGGCAGTAAGAAGCAGCGGAAGCTGCTGCCCCTGAAGGATCGGACGTTTGACCCCGATCGGCATTGCGGGGTCTGGATCCCAGAGTTGAATCAGCCCTGTGCCAGATCTCTGACATGCAAGACTCATGGAATGCTTGCTAAGAGGGCTGTCCAAGGCAGAAGTAAGTCTTATAAGGAGTTACTGGAGGAGCATCGATCTGCCAAGGATCCCAATCGCAGCAAGCCCAGCACTCCCAGTTCATCTGCTTCCAAGTCCCCTCAGGTAAAGACCCTGACTGGCATCTCTCTACCCCTTACCAGGGATAGAGATATCCTAGGGATATTCTGATCTTATTGTAAGGGTCTCCCACATCAAGAGGCCTAGAATAGCTAATTCCATGTTGGGAAGGTTGACATTTCACCAGAAAGCTATGCAGTTTTTTATGTTTTATTCAATATTTATGTTCTTGTTGGAATACCTACCTTTTCCCCACATTTTCAGGTCCTCTGCCTCAAATGCTTCAAGATAAAAGAAAGATGGGAAGATGTAATTTTTAGAATAATAAAAACTAGCTTCATTTTTTCCTTTTATCATATTCAGGATGTCAGTGGTTGAAATCATTATTAGTTTTCTCACAGTTGCAGCACTGGCTTACCAATTCCACCTGTAGTTGAGCATTGTACATCTGTTCCCATATCAGTGTAGATTTCCTATACTGTACTAGTACTGTGCCTAGACCTCTCCTTAACTCTTTCGCTGCAGTGGTAGACTTTTTCCACACAGCAACTAGTCCTCCCTAACCTGTATTTGTCCTACTACGCAACAAAAGAGTTAAAGAAGCCTATTGTTATAATCATAGTTGCATCACAGATATGATTGAAGACATATGTGGAGCAAAGGGGAGTAAACTCAAAGGATGTCATACTGTCCAAGTTACTTCTGGTGACCAAGTGACAATGATAAAAGATAAGAGTTACTATGCTGGAAGACAGTGTCACTATACAGGGTTATGACTATGAGTTAAAAATGTTAATTGTAGTATTGATGTTGTTTTCCCTCCCATGATTTGAGGGCATGATTGAAGATCCTGTATTTTGGGTCTGCAGGCGGGAGCATTCCAGAGTCCAAGTCCTGTGACGGGACCAGTCATGCCAGAACTGTCATTGGAGTTACCATCGTCACTGTTGGCCAGTGGACATCTCGCCAGTACCCAGGTCTACCTCCCACCTCCTGTGTTGACGCTTGCCTCCTCTCTTCCGTTGATGAACATTCAGCCACAGCAGCAGCAGCACTCAGTCACCATTCCTATCACTCCGACTCCTGCGTCTGCAGCCGAACAACCATCACTTGCGGCACGTGTCCATCATCATTCTGGTCATGATGATCCCTTCAGGGACATTCCAGTCTCTCCTGATCATCCAAAGCCCCTTGCAGTGAGTCCTGCTTGCCCTCACTTTATTGTAGCCTGATACTGCCACCTGACTTATCAATTGGTGGCATGCAATGAGATTTTAAACTGAAAATGAATGAAAGTTGAAGATCTTGATCATATGTAGTTACTGAGTAAAGTAAATGGAGGTTTGTGATATAAAGTGATCATCTTGTTAATTTTCATTCATCCAGAATTCATACAAGGAAAACTTTATTAAAGATATGAATGTAAATATTGAGACACAGATCTTGATTCTTGCAAACAAAGATCTAAGTTACCTATTGCATACATCTTATTCATACATTCATGGAGGTGCCACTATGTTCATCTATGACTTATTTTTCTACCAGGTGACTGGTTTCCGGATGCGTCGCCTCGGAGGCACCCAGACAATGAGACGTAACTTTGACCATGCTCGGCGGGCCTTGACTGGTGCCGTCAGAGGTGTGAAACCATCTCCATCTCTGGTCTTCAATCCCACTTCCTCAGCATTGAACCTTCAGTCTGGTAACCACAGTGGTTCTCCACACCCTCTTGTGAGTGGGAAGTCGGTGTTGTTACGAAGACCTGTGCCCTCACCATCTTCTGCACCATCCCCACAACACATCGTTCCCATCCCTGTGTTCAATGGACAGGCTATACGGAGTGCCACCCCAACAACCTTACCACAAGGTGCCTCGTTGCTCCTAAATAGCACAGGGCAGACAAAGCCACTCACTCAGTCTGTGGTCTTAAATGCAGTACACACAGTGGCTTCAAACATTGCTCCAAGGCAGACCATCAGTATGACAAAAGCTCCTGCTGGGAATTCCTTACTTACGTGTCGTCCTGTTGTGAACAGCATTCTCTTGGACCAGTTAAATGGTGGGAACACTGCACTGCAGAATGCAGGAACTCCCACACAATATGTGACAGTGAGTATTCCTAATGGAGTGACTCTGGGCACAGCCACTCAGCAGATACAGAAGAATTTGCTCAAAGTGGGTGTGACGAATGCATCCATGTCCTCTGCTGGCATGAAGCAGAGCATTGTGATTTCACCGGCAGCTTTCCAGACTCAGCCTGGCCCCAGTATCTCAGCCGGTGGGGGATGCGAGAGGCTGAAGGTTCAATTGGACGGGTCTTTATCTTCCCAGCAGGGCTTCCCCATTACTGTCGAATTTCCACGTCAAGCTTCTGCCAATCCCAATTCTGGTATGCTATGTGAAATATGTTGGTCTATCTTTTCTTCTATAGAAATGCTGATGTTTCACCTCATGGCTCCTAAGGCTTTGCTACTATGTATCATGAGAGGCAAATTTTTTGTCTCATGTGATATTAATTTCAAGGTCTACTGGAAGCATTCTAACTTATGTAGGAAAATACCATCCTGTGTAGTTAAGAACACAAAGTTAAATTTTGTTGGGCACCAATGAAACATCTGTTGGAGGCATGCCTCAAGCAGGTGTCTCATTGTCCTGCAGTCATTCCTTGGGCTTTTCTGACATACCTATATCAGTAGTATAGCAACCCATCCTTTTCCTTTTCTTGTGAATAGATTGGATTGGTAGCATCAATTCAACTCTGCACTCTCGTGGCGAACATGTGATGATTTTGCCATTGTGCTGGAGGTGTCTCATTTGTATGCAAGATACTGAATCTGTAGTCTTTTTAATTGTGTCCCATGGTGATTATGGATTGTGGTGTTGCAGTTATTGTCTTTAATGCTTTTACTATTGATACAAAGAAATAGGTCAATATTTGATTTGACAAAGTTATAGTATTGAAACATCTACTGCTCAAAATAAGGGCAACCATTCCTGTTTAGAATATTCAAATTTGCCCATCTACATCATCCTCATCCAATGTTCTCAGAAACTAACAATTCTAAATTTTTATCTTATGGGTATCTTCCTGGCATGAGTAATATTCCTGTCTCTTTGGTGTGCTGTCAGGCGTGACACATAACAATTATAGATTATTTTCCTCTTGGCTGAGCACTAGTAGACACATTCCCTTTCGTTTGATGCTACATCTTTTTTGCTGTTCCATTAAGAATTGGAAGGTTTTTACGGTTTTCCATGTAGATTGTCTTTACTTTCATTGGTTTGTAGAGGTCTTGCACTCTGTCTTCCACATTCTCCATATTTCTTCCAACAGGTCAGATAATCACTGGTGGCCAGCCGGTGACCTACCTGACATCTTTGCCTTCTTCGGGAACATTGACATTCCAACAGGTGCTCAATCCCCAGGTGACCATTGCCTTTAGCCCCTGCATGTCTTGATTGTGAAAAGGGAGATGAGGAATTGAAAATGATCTGATGATTGCATTGAAATGATGATGATTGGTGGGAACATTGTAGATGCTCAGTCAGCTGCAGCTGCCCCAAGGACAAGGTCCCAGTGGGAAGACGCTGATGACGACGTCGAGCAAACTCGCCCCAGCTGGGACCAACCTCCCGCTGCGCATCTTCACCTCCAAGCAGCTGGCAGCCCCCATCCCCCATGATCAAAAACCCAATTCCTGATCCATTCAGTTGATAATTCTCTTCAATCTCCCTATGGTCTTCTCCTCGACCTTCTCCTTTGTCTTCTACTTCCGATTCGGTGCTTGACCCGGACTGAGAATCGTATCCACCATCGGTCGAGTGCCAAATCGGACCGATCCTCAGTCCCGACAAGAACTCGATACGCTTGTTGTGAGCACGTGGGGACCGTCGGAAGGTCCCGACGTGACCGTTTGATGCCGTCTGTGATCTCTCTCGTCGATCTGATGGGGCGTGCGTGTCGATCGCAGAGGGGAATCCCGTCTTTCAGCGTACCCATGGCACGAACATGTGTCTCTCACACGACGACGGGTTCCGTCCAACTGGCACATGTCAAAAATGTTTTAAAGTATCACGGGGAAAAGAAAAAAGCGCTTGAACAACAAGTAAATAACCTACGATGAATTGATGATGTTGGATAGTCTTTCAAATGTGTCATGGGTCCATGCCTTGGAAAATGCAGAAGGCATTTACGATGCATCTCCTCGATCCTCTGAATCGATCGTCCCCTCTGCCGTTCGACATCGCGCCTCTCTTTGCCGGGGATGCACCGGATGTTGGGCGATCGCCTGGCACCGGCTTGCAGGGTGACGTACCCCGACGTCATCCCGACGACTGACTCGAAGAATGATGAGTTCATTTCTGTCAGTATAAAGACAATGAGGTCGTATTTTATCAGGTAGCAATATGTGTCACCAGTCAGAGGCAAAAGTTTGGTCAGAGTATGATGAATTTTCTTAGTCCCAAAAGTTAAGTTAAGGGGGGGTGGGATATTTTCCTTTAATTTATTTTTTATTGATCTACTCACATTCATGTTCCTTTCAGATGGATTAATTTTTATCCTTCATGTCTATGCCATCAACAGGTCAAACGTTCAACACCGGACACCATGCTGCATCTGTTAAAGCCCATATCTGGTGCATCCCTGCACTCTACCACTCTACCTTGTCTCTCTACTTTTTCTTCCCCCCCCCCCCCCTCTTCTCCTGTCGCTTTTTCTCGTTTTTTTTTTTAAATCCCTATACGTTCGAGGTTGCTGTGATGTGCTTGTGACCCACGTCGATGGCAAGCACAAAGAGCAAGAGAAAGAAACGAACCGTCGGTCGACGGAGCGGCCGAAGAAGCTCGAGTGCCCGGAGAGAGGATGAAGCGACTGCCGGAGCAGATATTTTCTATATTATTTATGAACTGTTTACGTGTTGATGCATTTTTGTGTTAGTGAAAGAAAGTTGATACTATGTCTACAAATGGTTATTTATAGTATTGAATTGGAGAAGGAGAAAACTCTGCTTTTGTCAGCCCTTTATCTTGAATTTCATTGCTTATCTGCGACTTTCTGGTGTGGATCTCTTGCTTTCCGGGAAATGGGTTTGCCCCCGACCTACTTCCATGGTGTTTCACTGTTTTGTGCTATCTGGAGTGAGTTGATAACGGGGGAATGTCGTCTTGAACGCCTTGTGTGGACGGGTTCTGTCCTTTACTTTTGCTTTGAAGAGGCAGGTGTCGCTTTTGTCTTTATGTGCGGTGGTGGTGGACTTATTAGTGCTGTGTGAAGGGTCGCATCTGCGCTTGCTTTTGCTTTTTTGAGCAGATCCTCTCTCAGGGACGCGATGCACAGGGACCCATAGGTCCTGTCCACTCTTTGCTTCGTCTCAGTACTGGTACTTTGTTCGGTACTTCCTTCTCCCACCGTCTCCATGCGCAAAATTAATTCCTTTTGATCCAGTGTGAGAGACGCACACCGCCAAGTTTGCCCGAGGCCATTCGGCCGCATTGAGACATAGCTCAACCGTGCGATGAATACCGACGGAACAAAGCCGATTCGCACCTTTTCTGCACCGTCATCGCGATGACGATCGTCGGCTCGAAGCACGAAAGCCCGACGACGAGAGTTGTAATGCGAAGATTGAGCGCGGACGCTTGGTTCTTTAACAGGCCTTTAAGCTGAAAGCTCCTTTCGAAGGATAAGCTCTTTCTCGAGTTTTTCTTGCTCTTGCATCATGTATAACTTCGCTTCTTTGCGACAGATGTCACTTCCGTCGCAATTTCAAAAGAATCGCGGAGCAAGGCCATGTTATAAGATTAGAGATGAGAGACAGGGACCAGCCCGTCACCTGTCAAGCTCAAAATGAAGTACCTCCAAGTACTCTGAGTACTTGTGGGTCCGAGGAGCTTACCACTTTTTTTTGCATATTTGATCGCGACTTCACTTAGCAACGAGACCTCTGTTCGAGGAAGAGCGAAAGTGTAATTTTCTTCCCGATCCCTTTCGAAGCTTGCCTCTTCGCAGGGCCGAGTTCGCAGAACCAGCTGATTAGCCAGTCAGCCACATGCCTTTTTATTCATGAATTCCTTTGAGCTTCCTCTGACGGTTTTTTTTTTTTTCCTGATGTGGCAAGAAGCCCGAGCATCTTCCATTTCGTCTTAAAAGATTAATTTGTGCCAGAACTTTGTGGCCCTGGTGGGAGCTGCGGTACTTACGGGGTACTTACCGAGATGGAATAATGGAGGAACTCGCCCGAATTGAGGATAACCGTAAGCGACAATGGTGAAATTAGCGAAGAAAAGAAAAAGGGAGAAAAAAATACCCCCGGCGGGACTCGAACCCGCAATCCCCGGTTTAGGAGACCGATGCCTTATCCATTAGGCCACGGGGGCTGCCTATTTCGTTCACCTCGTGAGCCGAATGTCGTGCGAGTCTCATGATTGTGTCTCTAAGTGTGCAAAATCCGCAAGGAGTGCTGCAGCGTTGCCAAATAATGGCATTTTTGGAGGTTGCAGAGAAATTGCGAACTTCACTTGAATCTCGGCCGAAATTGAAGGCGATCGCGCGGCCTGTGCTTCTTTTTCTCAGCCCAAAACGTGATGAGCAACCGCCACCGAGTTACGTTTCACATTCGACGCGTCTTCTCTTTCCCGCTTGAAAAGCGACTGGAAGCCAAAGATGCAAACTGGAAAGCAAAAAATTGCTCACCGACAGCACTCGAGTCAGGGAATGCGAAACACCGAACTAAATAATGCACCATTCCGAGAAATATCAGCACTCTCCCCGAGTTTGAGTTGCCCGCAAATACATAATACATAAAGACTCGTGTAGAAGTTTCGATTGGGCGATTGAGAGAAGATCGAAGGGATTGTTCCGCGTGCTACAAATCCACAGCTATTTTTTTACATTAAATGTATGTACAGTAATAATAAATAGAATTGAAATATTAAAACATAAAAGAAAGGACTGGAGCGTGTGTTGCACTCGTCTCCCGACTGCCTCTGTGGACCGCAGGGCGCGATGAGTCGAAGATGCCCCACGGAGCGTGAAGAGTCGAAGATGCCCCCGAGCGTGAAGAATCGAAGATGCCCAATCGCTCGCCCCGTGGCTGGCTTCGCGAGGCTCCCAGTCTCACGGTGGACGGCGGGAGAGGACGCTCTCTCGAATCTCGCGTCTCTCCTCCTTTGGGAGTTTTGTGACGTCGCGATGGAGGTGGTTCCGACGAGGATTTCCCGCCTTTTCTTCCGAGGTTCATCGATTGTTGCGGTAGGTCGTCGGAAGCGCGACAAAACAGTGTCGACGGCATTTAATCTTGCAAGTATTGCGCACATTTTGCACTCCCCCACGCTCAATTTTTCATTTCGAGCTGCTGACAACATCTGACGTCGTCGCCCTTGAGCCGGTGCGTGTTCAAGACGAGTACTGGACTTTTAAGTATTGTTTACAGTTCCCGCAATGCTGACGAAGCTCCCAGGACTTTTGCGTCGCTGCAAAATCATCACATCATAGTTGCAATTCCTTGCAGGAGGGTTGACTCTTCCTTTCCCCCCCTTTTTTTTCTGCTGTTCTGCCTGGGAAGTCCCATTTGCGGAGTACTCCCGGGGATGTACTTCAGTACTGTTCGTTGAGCGTGAGTCTGTCACTATCGAAATAAATTAGAACGACAAAATGGTTGAGCGCATTTCTCTCGTTCTGGAGAATTTTTTACTTTACTTGGGTCACCTTGAATCTATGCTAACATTCCTTCAAAAATTTTAAAAACAGTTTAACCTTCTGGGAAAATAAAATTGTACGGCAAGGTAGAATTTTAATACGTTTTGTCCCTGGGACCACTACCCAAATTCACATTCAATCTTCAATGACGGATGGCTATGAAGTGAAACATTTTCTGGTAATTTTCTTTCTTGGAGGGGTAAATAATTCAATTAATTTTTTTTTATATGCCCGTGCCCTAGAGCAAAGTGGATCGACTTTCAATTTTTTTTATTATAAAAATTGTGAAAAATCAGGTTCTTCACAATTTCGCAAAAAATCGTCGAACTCGCCGGTACATGATGGACTCTTGTCAGTCAAATCGGTCCCGTAATACTGTCAGTACTAGGTCGGTACTCGAGACGCAAAAAACTCATTTGTTTGCATTTTTTCTAAATCGAATGCTAGTTCGACCTCAGATATCCAGTACTTGTAAATACCAAATGATCACCCGAGACCACCGAAAGATACGTGACCCCTTCAACCCGCCCTCGCAGATTCCTCAAGTACTCACGGGTGAGCGTGAGCGTTAGTCGTATGCCGACCAGCCTGCCCCACGCGGAGCACGCAAGTGCATGTAACAACTGCTCAGTCCGGATTTCGTATATTTTTCTACCGTACATCAAATCGACCTATTTAGCCAAGGGAAACGATAGCGACCTCGAGCGTGTGGCTTGGAATCGGACTCGCCTGTTCCGAGAAGTCAATAACTCGAACTTGGTCTTCGAACCAAGAACTGACAATATTTACATTTTGACGGTAGTCTATGGGCCCATTCGACTTGGCGGCAGGTCTCCCATTCAGGCTGTATTCGCACGAGGTTTGTTGGCATATGGCCATCTGGGATTTCTCTTGAACTTCGGCCTGCGATGAGACGCCGAGAGGGCAGAGGGAAGTAGAGGTGAGCGCGGGCGGGCACGGTCCGCAGACGCCCGACACCCTCGAGACGAGCGGCCCAGGTGCTCGGGTCGGGCCGGGGAATGCCGACCCAGCCGCACCTCTGCGCGGAAGTTCCTCCCATTTCTCCAGTGTAGACGTCTCAGTCCGTGTGTCGCCGGGGTCACGCGAGGTTCTCCCTCCCCCTTCGCCTCTCCTTTTTCGCCGCCTCAAGGTACGTTCACGTCCACATGCGGCTAGTTCTGTCGTCCTTCATCCCACCCAATCCTTAAACGAGCAAGCAATGTCATTCCCACCATAATTTGTGACGTTGCAAATTTTTCAACGTTTAGTTAGTCTGAAATCGAACAACTTTATTATACAGCATTCAAAGGAAAAAAGACAGAAGGAACTCAAAGAAAGCCAAATATCTCCCAGCTATCACTACAAATGCCCATGGGGAAACGACTCAAACACAGGCCTTTCAAACACAAAAAATTCCCATGACACCCATTAGACAATTGTGAGAAATTTTCACTTAAAATCTCAAGCCCAAATATCAGTTAACATTTTAAAATGAAATTCACTTCCGGATTGTGTATTGAAATCGTTTGTCTAATTTCCCCTCTTCCCCGGTTATTCCGTGCAAAACTTGGAGGATTTCGTGAGAAGCCACCGAGATCCGAGATCTCGATGAAGCTCGGCCCTCCCCTGTCCCTCACTCTCGCCCGTGTAATCTGGCGAAAGCTCGTTCGTTTTTAAGTCTCCCGACATTACATCAAGTTTCCTCATGAATAATTCCATAATGAGGGTCTTCTGAAAATGCAGATATTTGGAAAGAGTGTCATTGATCGAGCTCAAACTCAGAACCATGCATAATGGTGGAAGATACCCCATGATCCCATACCCATCGTACATTCTGATGCAAAAACAGAGGTTTCGAGCTTCAAGTTTCGAGCTAAAGCTTTCGAGTATAGACTCATGCTCTCTCATAATGGGATAGGGAAATAACAACGATGCAATGAAGCAAGGCCCTTATAGACATGTTCCCTTGAACGGAATTTCAATTCTTATTAAGCCTGCAGAAGTCGCCTACATGCCCAGGAGCGAGAAGGCCGCGGTGATGAAT